AATAACATCTAGGCCTCAGTTGAATTTCAGCCCCAGACCCAGAAAAGCAGCAAAACCAGGTGGGTGACACCAGGACCAGCTGCAGTAGCTGATGACTCCCTGCCTTGGCACTGACCAATCAGTGCAAACCACAGCCCTGGCTGGAGGAACACACAGAAAACTGATTGATATTATCCTAAAACCCTCCCCTGAGATTCCCACCTGCAAGGAGATAAAGCCTCAAGACAAAGGACCCAGTGCATGCTCTCCCTCTGGGGAGCAGCCCCCACCATTCCCTTTCCCCTCTTCCCCCACAGGCATACATCTCCTAAATGCTAAAGGACCCCATGAAACTTGCAACCTGGGGAGCAAGGGGCAGCAGCAGGTTGTCTCAGGCTAGTCCCTTGAAACTGACCCCAAGGCCCCCTTTTCTCTGACTTCCCAGAGAGCTAGGGCAGCCCAGCCTAGGCTCACCTATTGCTTCTTCTATGCTAGCCCCTTTCTTGTTTTACATTCCCAGCTTTAACAAATGTTCCCTCATAGCCATGTGGACTCGTGAAGTTTTTCCTGCATGAAGTCAAGAACCCACACACTACCAGCTGGCCCTAGGCAGATCCTCCAAGGGCCTGGTCCCCTTTCAGGTAACAACAGCAGGAACCCCTCCCTTATTGACAGAGTGAAGAGGAGGCAAATGAAACAAGAACTCACTTATATTGAAGCTTGAATTTAAGATACGCAACTAGGGACTGGGAAGCAATGAACTCAGTTAAGCAAGCAAATAAGCTGATTATATTGTGTGTATATATATATATATAGTATAAACATTAGAAGAGCATAAGAAAGATTCTTCATAGATCTTCGTTTTTATTTCAGATATAAATTTACAAAAATGTGTTTATCTAGTTTCATATTCTCCAAAGAATTTGAAAGGAGGACGGGAAAGGTTGACAATTACATTTAAAAAGAGAAAAATCTGAGCCTACTTGACAAAGGCTGTTGAAAACAAAGTTCCTTTATAAGAACAAAAAAAATTACAAATCAAGTCCTGAAATTCAGAAGCTAAGCAAACTTCTTGGAAAAACTCTAAAATTCTTAGTAAATGAACTTTTATTTACGTAGAAGTACAAGCTTACATCAATAACGTTTTCAGAAGAAAATAATAATCAGGATTTTGAATTATGGGATAATGTAGATTAAACATTTCAAAACCTCCAGACTTGTTGGCAACTCTACTGAGTGATAAAATAACTGGGGAAAATCTTGTGATGTGGCTGGTTGAGTGGAAAAGGTGAATTCCATCCACAATTTTAGACAAACTTTCTCCGCTCTACTTCCTATAGAGAACTCCTTGCCACTTCAGAAAGTAGAAGGTAAAATTAGCTTATTAAGTAGTGAGAAATGATCTTTGATGGAATAAATTAGAAGACCGGAAATGAAATGGACTTCCTCAAAATGACTGTGCTGCCGGGGTAGTTTGTGACTCTTTTCAACCTTCTTTGGATCAGAATCCCCGCAAATATCTGAAAAAAGTGGACAGAATTCAGTTGTAAATCATTAAATTATTCAGACAAGGGGAAAACAAGGAAATTCATCTTTCAATATCAGATGTTGATTCCACTATTTTAAAAAAGAATTCCCCAAATCTTTTCTGTAGGAAAGAATGTCACCTTGTCCATCAAGTTCATTTTGATAAACCTCATGGGATGTTGTCTCCTGCTTTCTACCAAGCACTACTTTCTTTTCGTAAATGTCAGGAGATAGTCATCTCAGGTATCTCAGATTGCAGACAGTGAAAAAAGTATTACGTTAATGCTGGCATGCTGCTTGCTACAAATTGTTCCTCATGTGTTGCAAACGAGAGAGAGAGGATGCCCCTCATATTATGCAGACCATGGTGCCTGTGCCCTGAACCTACAGACAAAAATCAGTGTCTCCAGATGATGAGTAAATAATACTGATGGGTTATGTGGCATTTATACATCATATTGAACCAACATTTAAAGCAGCCAAACTTTTATCACACTGATGGGAAGATATTAGTCTTAATACCCAGAAAGACAACTACTTGGGGCTAAATTCTGTGGAGCAGTGGGCCTTATTTTTCTGAAGTTCCAACTCCTCCGTTCTTTCAGTGTTGCAACCGACATAAATGGAAGATAAAGTACATTTGGCATAAGAAACTGTGATCAAAATCCTTGGTATCATTATGGCATACATTGATGATCCAGACAAACATCAATAGAGTATTGAATTGTTCTTGGGTGACCCCCAGAAAGAACAGTTAGTACAGCATATGAAGTTTTTACTATCCTATGTTACCCGGACTACAGAATTTGAAAATGTACAACCTTATCTTAACCCTACACTGCTGAGTAAGACTGAAAAATTTCTCAGGGAAGAAAGGCCAGATGCACACGAACTCCACATGTAGCTTTCTGCCTTGAAGTCCTTGATTCTGTCGCTCTGCATTAGTGCTACAGCATGCACCTTTCTCAGCCAAGCTTCACGGTGAAATGCCACGGGCAGATGTGATTAGGCTTATGTTGCCGCTTTAAGATGTGTCTATTACTGGAAGAGGTGAGCATCTGGCGGTGCTACTTTATGTTGCCAGCTACAACATGAAGGAACAGGGTGGAAGAATTTACTATGAGTTATCAATTAATTGCTGCTACCAATTTATAGAAACTGTTGGAAAAAAATAATGTTACTTCAATTACCTGTGTCCATGGCTTCTCCAGATTTTTCTGATGCTTTTGCTGGACACTAAACTGGCAAGATTTTTTTTACAAACACTAAGGTAAAACTTTAGTTCCAGGAGATTTTAAAACTGTCTGAAGAAAACTTTGATTCTTTAGCAGCAAGTAGAGTCCTCACCAAAGCAGCTCTAAGTAAAATAAGCTGACAAAAATTTAAAATTTTTAAAAAAGCCTTGAGCAACTAAAAAAAAGGGAGGAGGTAAAAGCATAAAAAGCAGACATACACACCACAAAAAATAACTATTTGGAACCAAACAGTCCTGCATTCTACCAGTAGCCCAAAACTATACTGCATGGGAAATACACTAAAAATTATTTGTAATTCATCTTAAGCTCAAATTTAACCAGGAATCCTATATATTATATGAGACCCTGACAACAATCCCTCTAATTTCCACATATTGAATATACCCGACATAGTTATCTCCTCCTTGATCAAGGCAGGAGATATCAGGGTAGAGATTTCCCAAATCTGGATTCACGGGAAAGCTTTAAAAACAAAATAAGCCCAGCCAGGCATGGCTCAGCAGTTGAGCATTGACCTAGGATGGAGGAGATCAAGGGTCAATTCACGGTCAGGGCACATGACCGGGTTGTGGGCTTGATCCCCAGTTGGGAGGCAGTTGATCAATGACGACTCATCACTGATATTTCTTTCTCTCTCTCCCTTCCTCTCTCTGAAATCAATAATTAAAAAAAAAGAAAAAAGAAAGAAAGAAAGCCTGGCCAGTGTGGCTCAGTGGTTGAGTTTTGACCCATGAACCAAGAGGTCACTGGTCTGATTCCCAGTCAGGGCACATGCTCGGGTTGTGGGCTTGACCCCCAGTAGGGGGCATGCAGGAGGCAGCCAACTGATGTTTCTCTCTCTTCAATGTTTCTATCTATCGCTTTCCTTTCCTCTCTCTAAAAGCAATAAAAACATATTTATAAAAAATAAGACCAAAAACAACAGAGTCCTATGTTCCATTCCAGATCTACTGAATCAATCTTCAGAGGATTAACCTAGAAATCTGTACTTTAGAAAACCCCTCTCCCCCCTGGGTGATCTGATGGGTAGCCAGATATTACACTGCCCTATAAGGGACTGTATGTATATGCAAAATCTGAGGTGTCTGGTCTTCTAAAGAAAATAACCATGGGGTTAACCTGATTCTCAAGGAATATGATACCAAAAAGGGTCACTGCCTTACAGATGGGAAGTAAAGATAAAAAAGAGCTATTAAGCATTTTCCCATTTTAACAAGTATTATTTGACATCGTTTCCCTATAACTCCTAAAAACTGTCTATGCCTTTTTGAGTTACAACAGAAAAAGACTTTTAAAACTGCTATCATGGGCATGGCTCAGCGGTTGAGCATCGATCTAGGATCCAGGAGATCGTGGTTTGATTCCCAGTCAGGTATATGCCCAGGTTGTAGGCTCGACCCTAAAAATTATTTGTAATTCATCTTAATTAATCTCAAATGATCACTATTGCATGTCTGTGTTACAGACTAATTTATTTTAATTTGCGTATACTTAAGAGTAGTAATCTGTTTTGGTAAGTTTTCCTTAAGAATTTTTTTCTTTATAATTACCATTTTGAATGGTAATTAAAAACAGGGCCCATATCACATAATGTTAAACTAGGTCATCTACTGAATTCAACACCAACTTTTCTTTAAATATGTTTTTATCATTTATTTAAAATATTAAGGAACCCATGAATCCAAAGGCATTATCATTAACTGAAAAGTTATATAAGCTATTATTTTTCTTACATTTTCTATTTCTCTCTCCTCTGAATCATTCTTCTCAGCCCACTAACACTCCTAATTTTTTTCTTAAAAGTGAAGTATCCCTAAAATGAAACAGAGAGAAAAAAATGAAACAGTAGTAATATACTTAATCTATTTTGCTTCACTATCAAATTTTTTTCAAGAATAATTTAAACTTACTGTTTCCCTTTCTTATCCTTTAGTTAACATTTATTGAGCACAATACAGTGAGATTCAATCCTGTTGGTACATTCAAATCATCTAGGAAGCTTTTTTTAAATAAACAAAAAAGTACAGAGGCTTCAGGCCTCTCCCATGAGTGAAACCTGTGCATCCACATTTGTTTATATACTGTCCAGTTGATTCTAACGTGCAGCTAGAGTTGAAATCCACTAATCTATGCCAGGCACTCTACTGGAATTACAAAGATGAATAAAACACAGGTCTGCCCCTAAAGAACACAGGAAATAAAAACATCAGGTAAACATATTAAAGTTGGTAAATGTTTTAACAAATTGCTGAGGGAACAGAGACAGGTCACGATACAAAAGAAGATGAGTGAAGTCTTTGGGTCTGGTTATGAAGGATGAGTAGTTTATAATGCAGTCAAGACTGAAAGAACATTTTTGGAAGAGGGAAAACATATGCACTTCTTAGACCCAGTAATCTGGCTTTTCTCTCTCTGTTCCCTGCTCCAAACTTTAGTAAAACTGCTCTCTTAAAGGCCGCTACTTCTAGTTTGCGACTTAAATAATTGGCCTTATCTGTTATCAGTTAATAATAATGAGGCTACTCCGACAATTAATTGTGATTAATAAATACTGGATATACAGTAGATATTTCTCATCCCTTTCTCTTAAATTCAAGGCTTTTCTCAATCCTATATTTCATCTTAATTTCTCTGTAACACTGGCACTACTCCCTCTGGAAATTCTCAAGTTCTATAACATGAGCACCTACTCTGTGCCAGGTATCAGGTATTCACTTCTACTTCAAGAGTCACTCCTCGCCTTTTTGTTTCTCTTATTCATAAATAAAAGCACACCCAAAAGTATATACTCTCTGCCCTCTGCTCTGTCTAAACTTGTTCTCCTAAAAACCTTATCCCATTTTGTGGCTTTGAGACAGGCCAGTAAGCCCAGATAAGTGGAACAGGAAAACTGAGACAGACAGTTGAACAAACTGACAAAAGGTCACCTGCCTAGGAATAACATCTAGGCCTCAGTTGAATTTCAGCCCCAGACCCAGAAAAGCAGCAAAACCAGGTGGGTGACACCAGGACCAGCTGCAGTAGCTGATGACTCCCTGCCTTGGCACTGACCAATCAGTGCAAACCACAGCCCTGGCTGGAGGAACACACAGAAAACTGATTGATATTATCCTAAAACCCTCCCCTGAGATTCCCACCTGCAAGAAGGAGATAAAGCCTCAAGACAAAGGACCCAGTGCATGCTCTCCCTCTGGGGAGCAGCCCCCACCATTCCCTTTCCCCTCTTCCCCCACAGGCATACATCTCCTAAATGCTAAAGGACCCCATGAAACTTGCAACCTGGGGAGCAAGGGGCAGCAGCAGGTTGTCTCAGGCTAGTCCCTTGAAACTGACCCCAAGGCCCCCTTTTCTCTGACTTCCCAGAGAGCTAGGGCAGCCCAGCCTAGGCTCACCTATTGCTTCTTCTATGCTAGCCCCTTTCTTGTTTTACATTCCCAGCTTTAACAAATGTTCCCTCATAGCCATATGGACTCGTGTTGTGAAATTTTTCCTGCATGAAGTCAAGAACTCACACACTACCAGCAGGCCCTAGGCAGATCCTCCAAGGGCCAGGTACCCTTTCTGGGAACAGATTTAACCTACAAAGAGATTTCCAAATCTATATAAAATCTCTGGGCCTGACCACTTTCCCAAGCTCCATTTCTACATTTCCATATCTGATAGGCATGTTCAGTAGACAACCTGCTAGCATCTCAAACACAGTATAACCCAAATCAAATTCACCATTACTATTCCCAGTTGTGCATCCTCTTTCTTGTGTTCACTAGTTGTGAGTGGTGGTACCACTTTTTAGTCATCCAATTTTAACATTAACCATTATCTCTGATTCTTCCCTTTCCCCTACATTTACTCACCAAATCCTGTTGATTCCAACTCTGAAATCTGTTAGCAATGTTTTTTCTGTCTGTCTTGTAAAACTACTTTAAGTCAGACCCTAAGACTAAACCTTGTTCCCCAACTATTTTCACTAGCTCCAATCTGTCTAGACCTATGGTTCTGAACAGGGGCAATTTTGTCCCATAGGGGATTTTTCTGTTTGTTAAATATATCTTTAATGATTTCAGAGAGAGCAGAAAGGAGAGGGAAAGAGATAGAAACATCAATGATGAGAGAGTCATTGATCGGCTGCCTCCTGTACGTCCCTGACTGGGGATTGAGCCCGCAACCCAGGCATGTGCCCTGACCAGGAATTGAACCCCGATTGCCTGGATCCTAGGTCGACGCTCAACCACTGAGCCACGCCCAGCTGGGCAGGAGACATTTTTGATTGTTATGATGACAGGGGTGCTACTGGCATCACGTGGACCATGGATGCTATTAAACATCCTAAAATGCACAGGAAAGTCGCCACAATAGTTAACTTGGCCCCAGATGTCAACAGTGCTGAGGTTGAGAAACCCTGTGCTGTTTAACAGCATAATTAACCTCTGCATTTCTTACTTGCAGAGTACCTGAGACATAACTCATACTCCCTGCTTATTCCCACTTTCCTGATTTTTCTTCCTATGTTTTGCTCTTTCGCATGACTTTATGCCTCAACTGATATCTACCATCCTCCTAGGCAGAAGCAATTTTTCTGGCTTCTGAATTTCCATGAACTTACTACTTTTTGACCCAGTACAGTATGTATGTTTTACATATGTCTAATTCACCTCTGAATCTATAGCCTTGTATTGTGTCTACCAAACAGGTGATCAAATCACCAACCTTCAGTGAATTGAAAACTTAATCTATGGTGTCATTACTGCTATTCACAAATACTACAATTCTCTTCTCCTCCCATGATCCCTCTGAAATTAGGCTTTTAGATGTAACTTGCTTTAGTTAATTGAAATCTGAGCAGAAGTGCAGTGAGTCTAAGTGTGTGTGGGATGGGGGAGGGGAGAACTTTAAAAACCAGTGTGCTATTTACTGCATTTCCTTCCCACTGCTTTGGGGACTGTGGGGAAAAAAGGCTAAGTTTAGACTGAAGTTCTCCAACAGCCTGAAACTACATGACTTCTGCTGCTTACCAACACTAGACATACAGAGAATGAGTGAGGAGATGTTGTACAAAGCCCCCCCCCCCCAACTCCCACATACTAAGATTTTAGGTTGTTATTGCATTATATCCTTGCTTACACTGATTCATAATCAATGTAAGATGCATAATTTTATGTACCACTAAAAAAGGAAAAAATGCTACCAATTAAATATCCTAAGCCATTGATTGTACACTGCAGCCCGATAACAGAAATCTTTAAACAATGGAGCCCAGCCGGGCATGGCTCAGCGGTTCAGCATCGACCTAGGATCTAGGAGATTGTGGTTTGACTCCCAGTCAGGGCATATGCCCAGGTTGTGGGCTCAATCCCCAGTCAGAGGCATGCAGGAGGCAGCCAATCAATGACTCTCATCATTGATGTTTCCCTTCTCTCTCTCTCTCCCTCTCCCTTTCTCTCTCTGAAATCAACAAAGATATATTTAAAATAAATGAATGAATGAATGAATGAATGAATGAATAAATAAATAATGAAAAATTATGAGCACCGAAATCAATGAAGTATGGCATATTTGGTAAATAAATGAATGGGGAGGTAGTTTTGAAAAATTATTTTCATTTGTTGTCAAAAGAAACATTCTGAACTAAAATGTGCAAGAAGTTCTGAACATCAGATTCACAACAACACATGTAAATAAATGTAGTAAGTGAAAGAATGTAAAAATTGTACTTTTTCAAAACAAAATTTGTGAAATTCTTTTTTTTTGATGAATATAGGTGGTTCTATGGAACTCTTACTTTCTTTGATATGCATGAATGTCTTACAATAAATTACTGCTTCAGGTAATTAGGTCAGATAACAGAACCATGAGTTTTCCCATCATGCTTTTCAAACTTAAAAATTACTTTGTACTCTCTGCTCTAGTGTTCTTATATGCTGTATTCTCACACTAAAATGCAATGTTCTATGTATACCCTTATTTTATGTCAAATGGCTTCCAAATGCACTAAAAACAGTCTACAAATTTGCTTTAATGTGCAAAGTCTGCAAAACTCCACTAATGTTAGAGCAGCTATTAAGTTTCAGCTTGCTGTAGGAATTTTTACATTTTATTGGTGCGATGACAGAATTCATTCACCAATAGAATATAATTAGGAGTAAATACTTTCTACATTAGCAGCTTACTGGTTGAGTTTTTGGTTAATAAGAACACTACTGATTATACATTAATTATCATGGAATATAAAGGCAGCTTACATTGTTTTTACATACAAAACTTCTGAGGCCAAATTATGGTTGTATAGATAGGGAAAAGATTATAGAAACTGCTTATAAAGAATATTCAGCATGTGTAAGTGATTTGAAACACAACCAATATCACTACCTGTAACTCAGAGAGCATTAGTAATTTAATTTGACTATCTGAATCTTTAAAATCTTTAGCATTATTTAGAAATAAAAAACTTAGGTATACCAAATTTATTGTCAAAAATCTGTCCTTATATGTTACTTCTTTTCATGAAATTTTTTTCTTTTAATTTTCTGAATTCATGACTCCTTTGTTCATTCACTCACTGAATCACTCTACCCATCACATGCAGTATTGATGGCAGTACTGATGACAAATGCTAAAGATGACATTATTTCTGCACTTAGGAATCCCAACAGAACAGGGGAGAAAAACAGGTAAACAAATAGCTATTACTGAAAACTAATGATGTGTTATAGTGTTCAGAAGAAAGATTAAACTTGCCATGTGATCTGAGCTAAATCTTGAGGGGACAGACCAGGGAGCAGTACCAACAAAGATAAAGTAGTCATGAGCAGAGAAAAAAACTATAATTTACTGTGTGTTTACTATATGCCAGGCACCATTTATATTTACAGCAACTTAATGAAGAAGATACTTTTTGTTATAGCCCCACACATCAGAGGAAATTGAGGCTGAGAAATTAAATAATTTACCCAAGGTGCTAGACATGGACTAGCATGCAGATCTCTTTGAATTTATAGCACAACTAAAAACTTGGAAAGGTCAGAACTAATTAGGTTACAACAGAATAGAAGGCCATGAATACCATTTTCAGGAGTTTGGCTTCCTTGTAAAGGCAATGGAGGATCCAGAAACTAAAAGTTTGGGAGCAGAAAAATGACATATTAAAACATGGCTTAGATACAGGAAATTAGAGGGATTAGTTTAGAAAGTTTATAATAAGTGCTTAACAGTTAAAAATAACAGAAGAGAAAGACTAGATATAAGACATTCTTCTAACCCTACCCTCCCTCCCTTGGCTTTATTTCTTCTTCCATAGAACAGGTACAATCAACTTGCATTCTGTTTGTACAGTAAAATTTTGTTACTAAACAACAGTAGTTAATAACATAAATAGCAATAGTTAATTTAATAGTCTGGTCAACTGAGAGATAATAAACCAAATACTAATATAAATAAATAAGGTTTTCAAGCAGGAGATAAATTATTTGTATAAGACATTTTGATGAGGGGCATGCCAAGATTTAGGAACTGATTGTAAGATACAGAAAACAAAGATAAAAAGCTGAAGTAAAAAACCTGGATGACTGGAATAATGGGAATAGAGAAATAAAGAAAAAAACGAGCAGGAGATACATTTCTGCCACCTTTTGTGTAGAGGGAATGGAGAGGGGAGTTTATAAATTTACTTTTAGGCAGTTTCCATTTAAACACATCTCATTAACTGTCTCCGGTGAACAGGACTAGCAGATAAAAATGTGTGACCAGTGCTCAGGAGAGCAGTTAGGGCTGAGTTGTGTACTTGAGACACATGAACAAAAGATATAAAAGCTGAATCTATGGGAGCCTCAGGATCAATCAGTCTAATCATTTGGGGAAGGTAGGACAGTTTACAGAAAGAAAGGAAAAAAAGATCCATTTCAACCAATAACTATCTTTCTTCTGGAGCTTGCAGTGACTTCCTGGATTTTCTCACCTGGAGAGGGGTTTGGGAATGGTTCTTCTCATTTGAGCCACAATTTCACATAATTTCAAATTGACAAAAATGCTTAACTATACAATACACTTGACCCAGGAATGGAAAACATAACTGTTTCTGGCTTAGAGTTTTTCTATGCAAAACAGTGTGGGACACACTACTGCAAATGAACAACTTTAAAGGACATTATTGCGCTTCTTCAGATACCTTATTTCTTATTAGCCCAGTGGCCAAAGGTACAGTTATTCAATTTCATAGACATATCCTCAAAACAACTTTACATGATTTAAAAAAGCAAAGACTTAATTCCAGATTAATTTCTAAAATGCTATACCAGTAATATAAAACTTTTAAATGTGTTAAACAATAAACTTTGTTCTAAAACGATTAAAACACAAATTAAATTTAGAGTCCAACACTATTTAATGTTTAGCATTTACAACTTTTATTAAAAACAAAAAGAACTATTGTTTGTCCTTTTTCAAAATAAGTTGTGAAGCAAATTAAAAACAAAGAGATAAAGAAGAGGGTCCCTATCGTCAAATGTTTAAGAGAGTATAAAGTCATAAGAGCATCAACTTTGGAATCAGGCAAACTCAGGATTAAATACCACTTCGTTCTTTGGTGTCCTTGGGTGAATTACTTAAAGCTTTTGAAACCTTATTTTACTTATCTGTGAAATGTTAATAGCAAAATACCTCAAACTTACAACAAATTAATGAATGTATTGTCAAACTGAGCCAAGCATATGCAAAGTAATACTACATAAGTCTTAACAGCTTCCCTTCCTTAGATCTGCAATCAATAATGGAAATGCCAAGAGTTTAGAAGTATTAAAAGCATATTTTTATAAATTACCAAAAAGGTGGCAGAAAAAGTAACAAGATTTAAATATTAGTTTAAAAATGTCACCTTTAAATTCTATTTCTGATTCCATACTAAATATCCTCCTCCCAAAAGATTAAAAGAATATTTAGATAACTAAAGTGCAAAGAGTGTAAGAATTTCACTTAACCAGTTACTTTAATTCAAAAGTCTGGTTAGTATTTTTCTTAAAATATTAAACACAGCAATGAAATCTACATGTCAAATATCTACAGAACAGTCTTACAAAACTAGAAATAAAAACAAAAACACCAAAGTCCTTCAAATTATAATTTTCATTCATTTACTCTTAAAACATTGTGTTGGACAAGCTTAGAGAAGAAACACCCCACTTCCTTTATGGAAGTGCCCAGAGAATGCCTGATTATCAGGAATCTTGTCATCTAATTTTGAAAAAGCTTCGCTATTTTAGGCGTTTCCAACACCTCAGGTCTATATTAACTCCCACACTGACTACTCTCCTCAGCTAGATTTCTTGCCACTTGAACTACTAAAACATGATAATCTCTTCAACAAACTTTTCAGCACTAATTTTAAGTGTGCGTGTGTACCAGCACACATTCTCAGTTACCAGCTTATAGTTACTCACCAGTATTACATATGTGAAAACTGCACAGCAACTTTGTGTATAAAGGAATCTATCTGCCTACTAGGTCTCTGTGTTATGGAGAATCTTGTTGCTGTCCCCATTTTGTTGTTTATCACTTAAACCAAAAAGCACAGAGGGAAAAAAGATTTCCAAAATTGAAGATGAGGCTGATCTGAACATTGACATGAGGAAGGAGACTGAACATTACATTTTGGTACAAGGACACAAGATATAAAAACACTTGGAGCGGAGCGTTTCAAATGAAAGTATCCTTAGGCTTAGGTTAGGACTTCTTAAAACTTTTAAATGTGTTAAACAATACAACAACACCATGATAAGTTGGTGTTTCCTAATTCCTACATGGCTGTACTACTTTGGAACTCAAAAAAATAAAGACTGTTAAATTAAAAGTGGGCACTTCGAAAACTGAAATCATCTTGTCAGTTACTTCTGAGTCTGAGAAACATCAAGGTCCTTTGCAGGATACAACTCAAAATTAGTGGAGTTACCCAGACGCTGGGGAACGGGGCCTCACAGTAGTCAAAGGAAACGTCGAATAAGAGAGAACTAGTTCAATGAGCAGATTTATTTTAAATGCCTGAGAACTTAAGTCGTTCATCTGGTTCCAATGCTGTCACAGCATTTAAGATACAGTAAAAGGAGTTGCACAATCTCCCCTCTTTGGAAAAATTCCTGGCAGGACGATGGGGTGCTACCAAATCAGCGCCCAGCGGGGCCGCTGCCTTACCTGGGCAGGAAACCACCACTGGGTAGAGTCTTATTTCTTGTGAGCAACTCCCGCTGAAGACGGGAGCTACAAAGCCTACAGCTAAAGACGAAAAATGAAAAATGGGGGTGGGAGGATGACGAGAGAGGCTCCAACCGGGACAGGAAAAAACGCGTAGAGTAGAAAGAAAGGAAGCATTTTGCTTCTGGGAGGTAAGGTTAGAACGGAGAAGTGAATGTCTGCTTCCTAAACCATTTTTCCCTTAACTCTCACCCCGGCGACACTCCGGCCAGGCCGTCCGGCTAGGCATTGCCCTTGGGCCGCCCGCAGGCCGGGACTCAGACCCCACTGCAGTCCCCACCCGACGCGGGGGCCCGCGGCCCAGGCGGAG